GGGAGACTTGGTGCTTTCCAGATATTTGGGGGCTGCGGCTGCCCCGGCGGCGGGCAGGGCGGTGGTCGCGGGGCACGCGGAGGGGGTGTTGTGTAAGCTGCGGCAACCAGCGCCGGGAGGGTGGCCTGCGGTGGGAAGGGGGCAGCGGTCCGAAAAGGGGTTTGGGGGAAGGGGGAAGCGGAGGTGGGAAGGAGTTGTTAGCGGGGGTTGTGCGGGGATACAGGTGTTCACTCCGGTGGGATCCCGGAGGCGGCCGGGAGGAGGGGGCCCCTCGGCCCGGGACGCCCCCGGCCCGGCACCCTGCGACGCAGGGCTGTGCTCGCGCTGATCTCAGGTGCTGTAACGGTGCTTTGGCTGTTACTAAAAATGGGATGGAGTGGTGACTGTGACCACTGAGGAAGAACCCCTCTTTTCTGTGCGGCGGAGCCGTGACTCCCAGGAACCACCTCCCCTGCGAGCGTGCGGCTCACCTTGTCCGGAACGTGCGCCCCGGAGCCCCTTGCTGAGGGGCGCGGACGGGGGGAAAGTCCGAGAGCGTCGCCCAGACTTTGGTTACCTTGCGCACGGAAATAGCTGCGTAAATAAAAGCCTAATGCGAGAGTTTCCCTCTTTGCTTTAGGCGGTGAATACAGTTTTCTCCTGAAAGTTTCTTGTGCCCTAGGGATGGGAACGTTTCCTAATCTTCGTGTTGGCAGCAGCACACACAATCCCCATAGGATTTAGGGTGGCAGGCCTTGATGTAGCAAAACAACAACAGAAAATTAACGGAGAGATGCTGGATTTTTTTGTTGTTGTTTTGTTGTTTCCCAGAGGTATTTTCTGAGGAGCTACATTCAGGATGTTATTGCTGTGACAGGAATGTGTAAAAGACAACATCATAGTCTGATTGAGAAACAGCAGTTACTGGAATCAGAGTTTTGAAACAACAGCCCAGTTTGTGTGCGTTTATCATTTGGTTGTAATATATCTGATATAAAAGCATTCAGAGGAGGATGTTTAATGATTACAGAGCATTTGGATTTCATGTTATTGGGAGTGAAGGAATTGAAATGTGTTGATGCATAATCTTATTTATTTTTTGAGGGTGGTTGAATTTGAGAATAAAAGTAATTTTAAATTTTAGTCGGACTCCCAGGAATGACTGAATCTAATCTGTATCCTGATAACTTCGTTAAAAAAAGTAGTGTCCGAGATCATTAATGAGGTAGTTGGACCTGGTGTGTCTGGTCGTTTGTAGCTCAAATTCTGTGATTCTTTCATGAAAACAAATAATTGCCACTTTTGCTGCCAGATATATCAAACTGAACACCAAATAACGTCTATTCTTTCTTGTAAGCAAAGTAGCGAAAGTTCTGCTAGATGGTGCTATTTGATTTAAATATATTTCTTCCATTCATTGTAATTGGCATCAGGAATCCTGGACTGGCTTATGAACTAAATATAGGTGAAGAGGCCACTTTTGGAAAATTGACAATGACTGTTCTGGGTTAATTGTTGCATTAATTTCTAGGTAGATATTGTTTGAATCTAAGACAAATACTGAAGTAGATTTTATTTTACAGAATAAACTTAGTTTCATAGAATAAACTTGGTGGGAGAGTTGATCCGGTCACTCAGTTTCCCCTTTCTGTTTACTTGGGACTTGAATGCACTCTTCTGCAACAGTGTACTGACTTCTGAAGATAGGAATCTCCAGTTGTCTTTAAAATGGATGCCACCCGATTTAAACAAAAAATTTTAAGGTGCAGATTAAAAAGGTACCTGAGTGAAAAATTCTCTTTTGGGTAAGCAAATTAGAATTGTTCTGATCTTAAAAACCACAGAAATAATTTGTTTTTCAGTAATAAATATGTAAATGTTTATTTTACTTTAATAAAAATGTTTTGAAAAATGAGTCATTGTGAATAGTGGTATGCACATAAGCTAAATATATTGGTTTTATAATCTGTCAAGAAATGTGTTTTCTGACATGAATTCAGATCTTGTCAGCACTTGTCAGGTCTACCAACCAAAATACCAGGTTATAAGGTAGCTGACAAATGCTTACCTGTGTTCTTATATCTTTGCTTTCTCTTTCATTAGGAAGTCACCACTAGAACATTTGAAATTAATTTGCAGGTTTTACACAGTTTTTAATAATTTCAGTATACAGTTCTGAACATAAAAATGGCATAGGGAATATAGTCAGTAATATCATAATAACTATGTATGGTAACAGATGATTACTAGACTTATGGGGGGATCACTGCATAAGGTATATAAATGTCTAATTACTATGTTGTACACCTGAAACTAATATAGTATTGTATGTCAACTATAATTAAAAAATAAACTTAAAAAATGGCCAGTCAGGTTAATTACTTATTTTATTGTTTTAAAAACTAGACAGATCAAGTCTATACAAAGGTTTGGATTAGGTTTTATTATAGAGGGAATGATTGAGAATCCTTGGAGGGATGTGGGATGTTTGTATAGAAATTTAAATTCTGATCTTGTTAGGTCATTTCTTCCTTTTGCAGGCTTTTTTTTTTTTTTTTTTTTTTTAACACCAACACAATTGTAATTAAGTAACTATGTAATTGGTTGTTTAATGTCTACCCTTCTCTAAAACGTAAGTTTCTTGAGGGCAAGGGATGATAATTCTAATTTCTTCTCTGAGGTATCCCTGGTATTTAGGGTTGTGCTTTCATTTGTCAAAAACATCAAATAAATATTGGAATAAATGAAGATGTTAGACTCAAAGGAATTTTTTACAAGGTGGAAAAAAGTCTTTTGACCTCCAAAACGATCTCCAAAATAAGGACTTTAAAAGTTTGAGTTCTATATTCTGTAGCTTAATGGTATTTCAAAAATAGCCAATAACAGCAAAACAGTAATTATTATTTGTCATTTTATGTGCCTCCTACTGTGTTCAGTGCTTTGTGTATATTTTCTCGAATTCTCCCAACAATTCTGCAAGATAGTGATTTTTTTTCTCCATTAAAGAAATAAGAGTAACTTGCCCAGGAATGCCCTGCTAGCTGGGCTTCCAACAAAGATTTAACTGTAGAACCTGTGGGTGAAACTGAAAGATACTTTTCTTTTTTTTCTCTGTATACCAGATTGCCTTCCCAATCTAGGGTAGGATGCTACAGATTTAGGGAACAGCATTGCATAATTAGATATAAGAGATTTTAAAGATTTGATCAGATACAATCTTAACCATTGGTGAGCCCTGATGCTTATGCCTCCATTTTGATGGATGGCAGAGGTGTGTGTGGTGTGGGAAAGGCACAGAGATTTAGGGCTGAAAATTGGAAGCTTAGATAATGCAGACTTTTTGTTTATTCAGATTTTTTCTTCTAGGAGTTTTGTTTGATCACTTAAGTCTTAAAATTAGACATTGTAGTTATGAAGAACCTATGAGATGCTGTTGATCTTAAAGCCACACTGCCACACAAAGAAGGACTGACACCTGAAAGTTGCTGAGTAGTAATACGACTTTTTATTAAACTAATTTGGTCTTCCAGAATGACATAATAGCACAGAAAGATGAATCTGCTGTAAAGCAAAGCTGAACGTATTATATACACGCCAGACAATGGCATTACATTAAATAAGCTAGTAACAAACTACAGAAACCAAACTGCATCTAATCTGGGCCTCTGAAAAATGAATTTGGTTTTTAAATTGTGAATCTTTTAGTTGACTATATCAAGAAACAAATATCACATATATGCCCATTTTATGTGGTTACAGAAACGAACATCTAAGTACTACTCCATATAAAAGAAAGTTTATTGGATTATCTACCACTATTACCTTATTACCCCTTTATTTAGTCACACCCCACACCCCCTAAAAAATTATAAACCCTCCTTTTCTCCTTTT